CCCGCTCAATTTCAGATGAAGCAAGCGAAAAAATGAAGTTTTTGTTGAAATTCGTTAGATCCCTGTAACCTGCTCTATAACCAAAATCATTGGTGACGCGCACTAGGCAGGCCTGTACGATCACGTGTTTTTGCAGTATTTCGTGCTGTAGTAAGATCGCTTGGGAACCCAGTAGCTAAAAACTGTGACATACTGCTACTCGAAGTCCCGAAAGTTAATTGTGCAACTACGCGATACTTGGACAGGGAGCATCTCCTTAAAATTTCAGCTTCTCTGGTTCCTGAGTTAGCGATTTTCTCCCCAAAAATGTTCACGGGGCTGTACGTGAGAAACATGCACACTTGGAGGTGGGGTTGAAATCTTTGAGTTCTACGTGGACGGGGAACATCCTCTGACGACTTCAATCTCCCAGCTTTTCTGGTTCCCGAGTTAGAAGTTTTTCTGCCAAGAATTTTCACGTGATCGTAAGCGAACTCAAATGTGCGTGAGGGTTGGTACCGCGGTCCTGGGGTGGCACTTGGCCAGGGAAAACGCTGGCAAAATTTTAGCGCAGGAGTTTACTTGGTTGCCGAGTTGAAATGCTCAGAAAGACGGGCAGGCGTGCATACACACACCGAGGTCGTCACAATTATGCGTTTTTGCATTTGCATATATGCAAAAACGCATAAAAACGAGGAGTTATTTTAATTTATCACCGCAGTAAAATTTTAACCGGCAAATTAGGACGCAGGATAGCCAGGATTAGAAAAACCCGCAAATCAAGTAGCAGGCCTCAGCAAACAGTTCTAAAACATCAAACAAATTTGATCTTACCGCGTTCATTTCTGCTGCTGTTGGTGGTGTTGGCTCATCAACTTCCATAGGTTCGGCTGTGCTGCTGGTGTTGGTGTCACCTCCAGTTTTTGGGACATTTTCGGCCTCCGAAAGTTGAGTTGACGCTATAGTTTCGGAGGACGGCGATGTGACCGGTGCTACGTCTTGTTGTGCTGGTTCGGCTGCTGTAGAACTGGGTGCACCAGTGGTTTCCTGCATTGACATGCGCAGCGCCCATTCCAGCTGCTGCTCTTCGGTCATTGCGCCAGGATCCATATTCATTATATCATCTGCTAAACATGGACATATTTAATCGAACAATTAATTTTAGTAACATTTCACATACAATCATAATTACCACGACGTCCTGGACAATCGATTTGAGAATTCT